AGAAACAATTTTATAGGACATTAATGTGCAAACACCACTAAAAGAACTCAAGAAATTGGAGTTGCCGGAAATGAATACTTATTCACTTGGACACTTGGTAATAAGTTTGTAGTGGTAAATGTGAGAAAAAGTTTTTTTTTTTTTCAAGTTGAACTTATTATATAATTTTTAGTACCACTTATCAAGGCTTCATCGAGTAAGTTTCCTTACTGCCGGTGTTCGCGGACTTCATGATCGGGCAGAAATACTTCGGCATTTGGATCGTTTGTTAAAAGAAGATACTGTGATCGATATGATGAATGAGCAGCAGTTACATGAGGTAAGAGAAAGTTTTTGATTTTTTAGGATTTTTTTCAGCTCGAAACTTTTTCTCATATATGTGTTATCATGGTGCCAATTATTGACTCTTCTATTAGACCATATTTTAGCAGTTTTATCTACGACGTTTGCAATATGATGGCTTATCAGAAGAAAAGATGAAGTGTTTGCTTAAAAATTGGGTTCAACATTTGACTGGTAAGTTAACTACTATGAATTCAGGAATTTAAAAATGGAAGAGTATTTTTTGTAGTTCTTACATGATTGCAGATCCATGTTTGGAGACGTCTCTTTTCTTGCATGTACCCATCTTTGAAACCGCCTTGAAAAGTGCTGCCGAAGATTTAAAGGCCAATTAAGAAATCCTGACAATGAATATCCATTTTTGCGCACAATTCGTTTCAAAGCATGAAGCTCAAGTTTGGATAATCTAAGTTGAATTTGAATTCAGGGAGCAATAAATTTGGCCGATGTCATTCACAGATAAAACTAAACTTTTATTTGTTAGTAGTAGCTATTGAAGAATAATAGAGTTTGAAGTTAAACCTTCTCCCTTACATTTCAAGAACGCTGTGATATCTTTTCTATATTCCGAGAATTACAACATCAGTGAATCCTTATCACCATAATAAAATTACAAAAAAATGCAGAATTAGTTGTACCGGTGATGTAAGTGCAACAAAAATTTAATTCGCTTCATTTCTTATCATCTGGTTGTTGTAATCTCTGTTCTTCGCATAGCACATATTTTACTGAATTTGTTGCAAACTACAGATTTTGTTCGATTCTTGAATTTACTTATTATTCTTGTTCCGTTTCTTTGAATACAGTATCGCTTGGACATTGAATTTAGGAACACAATTCATAAGTACAATTGAATTTTAGCTACTGGTACTGATTACCACTTATGTAGATACTAAAAGTGTGATGTATCGTTCTTGCAAATGTTTTTTGCTTTGCGTAATTAGAAATTTGCTTAAGAAACTTGAAAAACATAAAACGTGGGAAATGTGCAAAAACAAAATCATTAATAAATCTTAGAAATGTTAGAGTGATGTCAGTCTACAATTTGAACTTCAATATCTGATAGTCGAGTTCTCGTCAGATATCTCAGTCCTCAATTTTATTTGTTACTACGCTATTAAAGTCAGCTAGAAGAGCTCATCATCCCAGTATTATTAATGGTATGGATCTATCCACGTAATATCTGGACACTATTCACCGGGCAACGGTTTTTGATGCAGTTATATATGGTTCGTAAATGTATCACCCATGGAAGTATGCCTTTTACCGAATTTTCAGGACTGAACTCTTAATTTAATCTTCACATCTCTTAAAATTGCAATGATTCCTTCGAACACTATCACTTTGCATTATTCTGCAACACTTAGCGTTGTGATTCAAACAACAATATATGACAAGCCTTTGATTATCGCTTTTCTTTAGTAGCATATTAAAGTTATATTGAAGAAAAACCGATATAATTTATTACACTCCCAAATAATATAGGAAACATTACTTTCGGACAAGGCAATCCAAACTTGATTCTACGATACATTATGCTGGTCTTCCAATGTTGAAAGAGAAATACCAGTGCAACTTAAATCTCGAACAGGTAAAAAATATTTTCTGTTCAGCAAACCAATTTTTATACATTTGCTGAAATCGCAAACAATAGTTTCATTGAAATTAACAAACAAAAGCCAACGTGAAGAGTAAACATTTTTCGCTTATTTCTCTTTAGTCGGTTTTCCGGTCTTCCTTGTCTTGCGCAGTTTCGCTACCTGCAAACGCACCAACCTATTTCGCAGCTGCTTTGCGCGCATCAGTTTGAACCGATCAAAATCAGTCATCTTTGCTTTCTAAAAAGCAAAAAAAAAAACATTTCACAAAACATCACAGTAAGGTGATATTTCATCGAAATTTCCAACTTATATATATTAATCAACCAACAAGTTGGGATTTTTGCAAATGATCTTATAGGGTAGTTGAAATGCTCATGTCATATATTTTTATATAAAATACACGGCATCATTTCTACTCGTTTCTCCAAAAATAAAATGTCAGACACAAACATTAATCATCTCCTGTATAAAACTGTCACGCTGGAAATCACAGCCAGTCATCAGCAAAATAACAAAAAAAAAAAAACTCCACTGAAAAACACTTACAATTTCTTTTTTAGCAAGCTTTTGCGCCCATAAAGTTTCTGCCCATTTCTCGCTGATTTTCGCTTCATCAAATGCCTTTTTGACATTTTTTGTGCGCATCCCATGTCTCAGTGGTATACGAAACTTTGTCAAATGAAGATCTTTGAAATTACGAACCGAACGCTTAACCCCCGTAGATGGTCCATCAACCAAGGCCTGAGCGTTTGTAACTTTGATTTGGCTATTATTTTGCTTCATATCCCCTCCAACATTGATTAAATCCCCCAAACAAAAATTAGGTTTAAAAAATACAGATTTTTTGCTACAAAATAATTTCGACACATCACACAGATTAATCATATCAATGACTAACAGGGTAAATACATGCTGCATAACTTAAGAGAATTCATGATAGCCGAATGATATGTCAAACACGGATCTGCGACGTGAATTAAGCCTGTTATAGGGTAATAAAAAGTAAAAAGAAAACCAACTCTATTCCCATCAACAACATCAACAATAGCCGCCAATTTTCCATCGTCATCACCTTTCGCAACGAACACCACACGGCCTATTTCTACCATTCGTTTGTACACCATTTTTGATTAACCTTGCAAGAAACACTAATTATCATATATAAAAATTGACAATTTGAATATTTTCCCTAATATATTCATATGATCTGTATAAAGATAATGACCGCTCTCTCAAAAACCCTACTGAATTATACCTGCGAACCTCCCTCCCGTCCTATATAACCCCAACTTCCCTACCCGCTGCATTCTCTCTAACCCAAACCATGAAATAAACCAAATAATCTCTAGGCGACTCGGACTGCACGTTATGTGAAAAAATTAAAATCTCGAGCACCCTATCTGCTTGACAGTGCTCATCTGCCGTAGGTGATTGAGAAGACAGTTTAAAATCATATTCCAATTATGTACCATAGGTCAAGCAGGTCAAAAAAGTCGCACCTATTGAAATCTTAAGCCATGTAAAGTTATTGCTTTATGTGGAATACTATTAAAATTAAAGTGTGAGGTGGAGAGTTTGATGTAAGAGAAAAAGTTAGTGATATGCCATACTTCATAAATATCATATTATATTGCTTAAATCATTTTTTAAACTAATGCAGTTGTCCAGAAAGGGAAATGTAAATGACGTCAAACCGGAGACAATGTTGTTTTACATTTCAAAGATCGAATATGTCGTATTATTGTCAATAACATATTATATATTAAAACCAAAGTCAAGTTGTGTTTAAAAAAAAAGAAATCAAGGAGTTAGAATATATTAAATGACCCATTACACACCAAGAAGTATCACAATGATTGAAAGCAAACTGTTAGAAGTCAAACGATTGTTTCAAGAAAATTTATTCACAATAGTTTCAAAAAAAAAAAAAAAAACAAAATATTTATAGCATTAGGAGAGGAAAAAAAATGGAAAGATATAAATATAAAACCAAACACAACCACATAGATTACAATTTACAAGGATTTATTACATGAATTATCGTACAATCTTTAACTAGTAAATATTAAATTTACCTAGAACTACAACACTCGATCATTGAGGAAATTCACCGATATGAAATTGACAAGGTGATTTATTTCAACTCATTTCCAATTAGATCCCATTATTCTTTGCTCTACTTAACTCACTAAACTACTTTAAATTATATTGGTATATCTTAGAAATTATCATAGTCCAACAAATTTTGGAGATACATTATGAGTTATCTAGTTTCGAATTTGATTTTCAATTCGAAGCTTCACTTGGAAGCACTTTAATTTTGACTGATCACCTACAAAGAGGCCTTATAATATATTGAGAACCATCCAGACTATATGAAAAGAAAGAAAAAAAATCAATTTTTCGAGCAATTTCATTTCCTCTTTGAATGACAGAATACAACTTTGCTAAGATCTGCCGCCTGAGATGAAATTGATGCTTGATATGATCTAATCTTTAGAAAATAATTTATATTGGAAATAGCGAAATAAACACTACTAAATACAAAGGAAACCGATTTCTGGTATGAGAAACTCAGCGCTAGCGGTAACTAGTAAATAAAGTGAAATAAATTCTAAATGTGAGAATGTATTATGAACAGATTGCTGTAAGGAATTTCCACAAAATTCTTGAAAAAAGTAAATTACCAAAATCAAACACTTGAAAAGAAAGTAATACAGAGACAACCGAATACATGAAATTATTCACTTATGTCTTGTAACACTTAAGTCTACATGAAATTGTGTGCAAAGTGTAAAATTAATGTGAAGGTTACGGGAACCTTATAAGCTGAAACATTGGCAGCACTATATGTTCCGAAAGAGTAAAAGCTAATTACGAATAAAGCAAGAAAAAAGAAACCCTGTAACTGGAAACAGATACTAAAAATATCAAATTGAATACAGAAATGCATGAAAAGAAATATTTCATAAAAAAGAAATATTGAATGAAATTACAAAATGACTAGTTTCGAACAATGATTAACACTGAATTTCAAGAAGCTCTAGCCTGAAATATCTAGAAATTATACCATTTCTTCTTTTCATACTTTTCCACTAGCTTTCCTGTTCGTTGCGAAAGAGTCATTGCATTTTCTTTAAGTCGTTCCGTTGCATCTACAGTTACGTTCAGCTTTTCCGCACGTTCATGTAAGGCCTGAAAATTTTGGGAAATTGCAAGCATGCAATCAAAAGAATTCATCATCAATCAGTCAAGGAATAGAGTCCATCTCATAAAAAGGAAGAGTGAAAAACGAAAAACTCTAAAAAATGCTCAAGATGGAAGCATTTAAACTGTTTCCTTTAATTTTTGTATAAAGATGATTGCAAACAACCGATCTATGCTAGATATCTTCGTTTTGGTAAAAGCTATGACATCTAGAACCTATATCTTACTGAAAATTAATATTATTATCAACACCATTAGGAAATTGTCTCGTGTGGGAGACATCCCTATTTCATCCGGAAAATGATGAAACATGGAAGAAGATATGCCTTAATACGTTTTTAATTCCAGAAGTCTTCTGCAAAAACGCATCTAAAACTTACCATTCAAGATCATTAAACAAAACACAAAAACAGCTTTTTTTTGAACATTTCAGCGATAATTTCTTTATGATAAATACTTACTTGTAAAGCCATATTTGCAGCTTGACCCGCCGATGCTCCTCGTGCTGTAGCTTGTTCCATACTTGATGGACCAGGTATTGTTTTTGCAATAGAACGCATACTACTGCCGGGCACAGAGTTGGAATTTTTGTCAAGAACTGAAATTTTTTGAATTTTCAAAATATTCAAAAAATATGAAATGAGTAGAAAAATTAAGCAAATCAGAAAACATAGTACGAAATCAATTAAGAAATAATAAAGAAAGACAGTGAAAAATTGGAAATTACATATAGAATCCAAATCGAAGCTGTCTTTTTGACTGGCAAATAAGGTTGACATTCCTTTCAAAAATGAACTTTTTGGTGGCTCAGGCATATCAACAGGCACGAACAACTCGCCAGCTGATTCCTGCACTTGGCTTGCTAATTCCGAGCAAATAGTGAATTTTTGGATCTGAAATATTTGAAATGCAACACTATATGGATTCTATGTAAGCAAATTTTGATTATAAAAAGACAAAACGCTGACGCTCTACAAAAAAATATGTATATATAACGCATCTTAAATTTAGTCAACCTGTGAGCATGTACGCATAAACGATCACTTGACCACATTTTAGCTCCTACCTTCTCTTTTCTTTCTCTCTCTCATTTTTATACTTCAGCTCAATTAAGTAATAGGACAATTTTCCTCAAAAAGAAAAAGAAAAAGAATGAGAGGAGAGATAAAGCGCTTGTCTTCGCTAATAATACTCCATTTTACACTTACTGACTATTGACAATAACTAATCAACAAGTAACACTAATTATTTCAGCTGCTTTCTTACCTCTGATGGCGTTATGGTATACATACCCAACCCATGTTCAGCAAAGGACGTCTTGAAACAAATACTGAAACAGGACCAGATCTGTGAAAACATTCAAAAATAATTTTTTTCATAACTGTTTTTATTAAAATGTAAAACGATGAAACTCACAAAGAGTGAAATTTGCATAATTTCAAGTAGCTTGGCAAAAAAAAAAAGAAGTTCTGCTTCTCTTTCTCGGAATAAATAGCAAAGTTGCAGAAAACGAATGTGATTTTGATTTCCTGTCTTTCATGTTCCTGATCTTGGTCCCTTTTCCTTTACACAATTTGAAATTACTGATTTTGTAAAAAAACAATAGCCATTAGCAAAAAGGAAAATTGACAAAAGAAAAATTTACGGGTCATCGTAATCAACAGAATGTCGGAAGAGATTTGAGCAAAGAAGAAGCCTCAAACTCGGAAGACTTAATATAACAATTTGCCCCGCACCATTCAATAACATTAGCACGGGATAACCATGAACGTGTGTTGCTCGTGCCTGAAATATTACTGATGGAACATTGTGGATATTTCTCACAAATGTTAAATATAGAAATGTTTAATTATTTCGCATTGCATAAGTCTGTGATAGGGCATAAACTTCTGCATAATGACTGCACTATTGCATTGTTTTAGTCTGACCACTTGATTTGTTAATTTTTTCCTTTATATTTTTTGTTTTTTATTGTTGTTTTTTTTTTTCGTTATTTAATAAATTATATTTTTTGTTGGTTTCACATGATTACTAAGTCGATTTTGATTAGCAGAGACCTTAAGGAAATATTTCTGTTATGCGTTGGTTATGCGTTGACACTAAGCATCGTTCATATTCCCCAATAGATAATCTTGTAAGCAAGGGTTTAATGATAGGAGAGCTCTAGAGACTCCGATATTTTTAAGTGTGCATTAGAAAATTAACCTTAACGAATGGGAATTCCGGACGGTATAAAAACAAAGAATTGAAATTTGGCAATGCAACGGTATGTACTTCATCTTCAGAAACCAAAACAGCAAACTGAAATAATTAAAATTAGAATGAAAGCAACTTTACAAGTAAAATGACGAAAGAAGAACACCAAAAATATCAAGTAAACATTTTTATGGAACCTGTTTTGTATGAATGTGTGATTAAATGTAAATAAAATATTTAATAACTGAACTACAAATTCCTGAATACCAAGACCAAATAGCTCTTGGATCATCACTTACCTGTAGAAAGTCATCCTCTCGGGAGTATTCTGTCGCGTTTGAACAAGTTGGTGAAAGACTCAGTTTTGTAAGAACTTTATTCGGAAAGTTATTTTCTTCTGAATGATTCCGATCATCTTCCTGAAACAAAACTCCAATTTTTTTTGTTTGATGGCAATGCATATTTTACAGTTCTAACAATGAATAAATGAATGACATAAAATCCTCCTCCCAACTCCACTTTGTCAGATTATGAAACGATTATGAAGTCTCTACTCACAGGATTTTTGGAAAAAATAGTTTACAACAAAAATTCTGGAAATATTTATGGCTTAAAAATCATGCATTATATACATTTGAAACTGACTTTGGGTTTCGCAATCACCTTTTCATGATAACTTTCTGCTGCTCCCTCTAATAAACAAAAATTTCGATCCATTAGCGTTGTATACAGCATACGTCCTCGCGTCTGAACTATTGAACCTAACAAAAATAACCCAGAAGTTTAATGTAAAACAGCTTTATTTACAAGCGCAAGCGTATTGCTACAAGAATTATGCCTGAACCGATCAAATAAAATTTATTTCCAGTACTACGAAAGAATATTGAAAGAACAAACCGCTATGAGTCACGGAGACTGTTGAGTTTTGACGATCAGTCGGAAGTAACAAATGATAGATAATACATGTGCTCGCAGAAGTACCAACCCAAAGGCACAAATGTGCTCGAGGATCTAAAGCTCTTAAAAGAATTGTACTTTTGAAATTTCGCAAAATGCAAAACACCAGGTACACGAAACACTTTAATAGCTGATGCAGATTTTCCTAAGTACGCTTACTTCATTGAAAACAAAACCCGAACAGTTTCAACTTTTACGAGATAGAGATTGATCTACTAATGACAGCAATTAAAAGTAGTGTCGACAACCATTAATTAATCTTTAAATATACTAAAGAATACAACATCTAATTCAATAGTATCAGCCTAAAGACTAACCTCTTTTTTTGACAAATGACTGAATAAATGTAAGCGATGTCACACTTTCCGAAAAAAACATCTTGTTAGTGCTTGATGGACTCTCATCTACTGAAGTTCTCTTCGTTATTGTTGAATCTGAAATCTGTTAAAATTCATTCCCAAATAGGAATCTTTACAATAAAAATTCCACCTTTCAATTCAATTTCAAGCAAATTTTTGTTACCAGCTTGACTTAACTTTATACGTCACAATGGAATCAAGAATAAAAACAAGATTACTCCATACGGGAACATTCATGTATATAAATTTCCTACAGCATTGAAAAATGAAAAAACAAAAACGAATAATAATAATGAGAAGTAGTATACAACAATTATCACAGTTCGACTTCTATTTGTTCATCCTTGCTCAATGTCTCAGCTGCTCAGGTAATTCTTATCAAAACATGCATTGAAAATCCTCAAATTTGAAAGAAGACTTAGGAAGTCTCCGAAAGAAAGCTGGGGATATGAGAAGGATTAAATTTAAATAAACATAAATCATACAAAAACATTAGATTCCCAAAGCCCACTTCTCTATTTTCACAACCTTCTTCCAACTACATTCATTTGTATTACTACTATTTGCATTAACTTCCCAATATTCAATCTTACAGTTAAGACATATCTTAAACTAATATTTGATCTCATACAAAAAAAAGACATATTAATAAACTGAATTACAGGGATGAAACAAAAATGTGTTAAACAATCAAATTATAATAAATCAGTTTTCAGTAATTACCACTCAATCTAAAACCATTTTTTTTGTCGATTCATTGCAACATATTCAATATTTACGTGAACATTTTTAAATTCCTTTAAAAGAATTCTGCAACAAAAATAATGAATAAAGAATAACTTATTCAAAAAAAGTTTAGAATTATTCAAGCAAAAGTATTCAAGATTTTTAGAAACACATTTGGAATTTCTAAAATATTGGCTTATTTGAAATCCTAAAACGTTTTTATAAATCGATGATTAGGCAATGTAAAGAATAATATGCAGTACAAGAAATTGTTGGATCAGATGTATTACGCCTTTAAACAACTAATCTTTAAAACAATAATTTGTGATGAGAAACTCATACAAATGTTTAGTTTCATCATCTGTAATGATTCAATTTAATATTAAACACAGTGTTAGTTCTTTCTGTAATAAAAATGCTGTAGGCCAGTTTCAAACACTTCGATGACCTTAATTCTTCACAATTTTGTGTAGTATCTTCATATGATTATTTCAGAAACTTCAACAAATCTACATTGCAAAAAAAAAGGAGGCAAAGCAGAAAAAAGATTAACGTGAAGAGACGTTTAATCTTCTGATTTTTTTATTTTCGTTGATTCAAAAAAAAATGTGAGAATTATACAAAATGAAAGAGATGTCAGAAAACAAAAACAAGTACCATTAATTTCACAGCCTGAATCAATAATAGATTGTGATTTTAACAACTGTGGCCGCCTATCCGAACGTAGACGTGAATTTTCCGCATTACCACGTAATATCGATTTGCTATTGACAATAATTGGTGGCGAATCCATACTACGCCTCGTATCCACTCCATACTGAAGCTACCATATCAACCAATTTAAAAATTTTTTTCAGCCAAAGTTTCACAGGTTTTCAAATTTTAGTTTACAAAAAAAAGTTCATCTTAAGAACTAATGAATATATTAAGTTTAGTTTGGCTTCGTAAGAAATGTTTGCAGATATATCCTATTCGAAATTTATTATTACTAGTACAGTTAATCTACCAGTTACTACTATATAGTTGTAAGAATAATCAATATTACATATACTACAGTAGGAAAACAAAACAAAAAAAAAACACAATGGTTCAAGGAAAACATTGGTTAAACAAATAAACTGACAAACATAGGAGAACAGAGTAGTACATAAGCAGAAAGATAACACAACTCAGAGTATTCGTTCTCATTTGAGAATATTCCATCAGTTTGAAAAATGTCGAATAACTTGGTAACTTGGTCCTAACTAACCTGGTCTTTCTGTTAAGTACTAGCAGTGTAAAATATTATTGCTTTATTTAAGCAAATTAACTTGATAAAATATGCATAGCAAAACAATGCAAGCTTTCGTGAGATACACACTTGACTCATTTCTTTATATACATTGTAATGGAATCGAAGCATAATGAACTCGGACGCTTACTGACTTAGGGATGAGTGCGAGTGCAGCAAATGAAAATGCAGTTTTTGAACTCACCAGTATACTCCGTTTCAAATTTTGTATTTGAAAAAAAAAACACTCACTCTGTTAAAACTTTGTGTTCAAAGCATTAAAATGAAAAGCGAAAAATAGGGTATGCATGCTGATTTCTTACCTAATGTTATTTTCGAACCCGACATTGATTTGAACTGTTCATCAGAGGCTGTTGACGTATGTATCGTTGATGATCGAATAAAAGTTTTCCTTCTGACACGAAGTTTGTCGATCAAACAGTTTACATCAACCTCCCGAACTCCTTCCGAATCTTCCGCTCTTAAGATTTCATTGCTTCGCACAGATGTACTTTCCAATTGAAAACGTTTTTTGTGATCTAAATTGTGCGGCGAGGTATGTTTGCATGTAAATGTTTCCTTGTTTTCTGTTGTTATTGTTTCCATTGTTTTCATTTTTTCATTTCCATCTGCTGTCCGACCAAGAAATGTTTTGCCTAACGTCATATGTTTGAAAAGCTTTCGACGATGCGACAATTTATTGGAAGGTCGCAATTGTATCGGCGATGTAGTTTTAGCTCCTTTTGGCGTAGCACATTTAGCTGAAATATCTCCTGAATATATGGTATCCATTTCCAAAGATACATTTGTTGTGGAAGTTTCTTGTTGCTGCGATGATACGACAAATGGCTGAAAATACGTGATCAAACGTGACAAAAAAGGCATGCAAACACAAAAACTCCATAACAAGTGTATTTTGAACATATTTAAGCGAAAACACAGAAAAAAAAATGGCCTGATATTTTCTGAATACTATATATATATATCTCAGAAGTGACACAGTTCTTAGCTTTCTGCTGGGAGTTATGAAGCACATTTTTAGCATATTAATCTGCACTAATTATTAACATCTTAATATATTAATATACTAGCTCATCTATTCATACTAACAACGAAACAACTTACATCATGGTCGGTATATAAGCTAACTTACTTGCTATCAGGCCATCTATTTACTTTAGATATTTTTACATATAAGTTCAAATACACTAAATTGAATATCAAAAGAATGCTGCAGTAATGTGCAAGCAAATGAGAAATACGGAACATGAACAAGGACAACAAAAAACAAGAACAAATACTATAGCAGTAAACAGTACTTATGAATCAATAAACTAATCAAAGAAAGAGGAAAAGGGAAAAAAATTGCAACACTTTAATTACTTATTTGCTATTTGCCTTTTTTTACTTCCTTTTTTTTTTTACTTTTTTACTTCCATTCATAAAGAATTATATTTTGAATTAAAAATATCTTCACAACTGCTAATAAACTAACTCAAACTCATCAGCCCAATCCTTGATATTTAATTAAGTGTCAATATGTTATTTTATAATTTATTAGATGAATTTATGCCCTATTTTGACTTATGTTCTTATTTCCAAGTTTCACAAAAGTTATTCTTCTAACCAGGAACTTCAAACCAGAACTCCAAAAATATCGAAATACAAACATCATATTGGCTTGAATTGCTGTTTTGACTAAGCAATATTGGTGTTGAATGCTGCTGCATGTATAGATCAGCGAGTGACCACGAACATATTATGATATACTGCACCAAATCAATCAGAGTTAAACTTGATGATGTGCCTGAAATATTGATGTTGATGAATGCTTTGTATATGAATGAAATATTTCTGAACAAGAGGTTTCAAAACAATCAACATATCTTGAATACAAATTAAATTATTTTTGAATTCTATCCACCAACTTGACATATAGTAAGCTATTTTCCTCACAGGCTGGAAAACAATACTTTTGATGACAAAAATAAAGAATGAACTGCTTCGAATTTTTAACAGGATTAGTTTGTTAAATTATTTAAATTTTAAAAATTTACTATAGCAATAAAATAATTCAGTTCAGTATTTAGAATTGCGCTATATGTTTAACATATAGTTATGTTTATTTTTGGGTTTACCCAGCAAACAAATCTTCTGATTTTTACACAGGAAGAGAGAAAATTCAAGCAACTATTCCCAGTGGAGCTTAAAAAATGTGAACAAATAGAAAAGGCAGGAATTTAATTACACAATTTCTAAAGACTTCCATAAACCGCCCACGTAATAAAAAGGGATTCTACATGTAGTGGAATCCTTTTTTTATAAAAACAGCGAAATAAAAATCCAAACCAAGTGCAATAATGCCGTATGCTGAATTGAGAGCAACTGCTGTAATTGTCTCCGGTTGTGACGCATTCCTCCACGGAACCATACATACCAAATCTGGCTAAAACTTATATTTTATTAAAAGTTTAATGATACAAGGCAACCCTGAAAAAAAATATATATATATATATATCCATAACTACCTGATATCCAGCAAGTCTTCTGAGCACTCCACCTTTCACTTTCAATGGAAAATAACCATCATTTGTGCTACCTTCACTGGTATCTGTACTATTTGATTCCACTGAGATTGCCGTTCCCTGCCTTCTTAATTCTCTCTTTGGAGATGTTTTATTCGATTCCACATTACCCGATAAAAAAGAAAATGTAGATGGAATATTAATTACCTGAAAGAGTATGGAAATAAATTTATCAGAAACATTAAGGGTTTAATTTCATAAATAGCCAGAAAGAACTATAGAAGCTCCACATATTTTAAGACAGTTAATTTTTTATTAAAACTAACATAACAAATCAAACTGGAAAATATATTTTCATCTTATAATATAACTCATTCAAGTTCTAAAATTCCTGATGCCTTACAGTAATTTCATGAGCGTTCTCAGTTTTTACAAAACGAAATAGTGTCAACTGTCCACTTTGTGCGACAACTAGCAGTAATCGTGAATCCAAACATAATTCAATCATCGTAACAGCATGTGATGCTTCATGAGATTCCAATCCATCATTTCGTTCGAAATGTCGCCCACTTTTTAATTTGTACAAGATTTGAAGATGCTCACCCGATGCTTGCCAGAATTTTATAGATCCATCTTCATGGCTACAACAAGTGGAAACACAAATGAATTATACCTACCATCATCAGTTCTGCATAACAAAAGATTTTTTTCCTGAGTGAAATAATTTAATTACTAAATTCCGAGATAAAACATAATATGTTACACATTCCATTCATCAAATTCAAACAGAACTACACCATGCCTGCCACACGTTAAAAATCTGCTATTGTAATTAGGATTACTGAAACCGCAACAATGATTTCTTTTCTCCAATCATTTGCATAAACACATCTGAACAATTACCCCGTAAGTAATAATTCTTGATGACCCATTGCACAATCTCGTCCACTTCCACCTGTGATCGGCCATGGCTGAAAAATCCAATTTCGCAACTTCAAATTTAAGACAAGCTAAGGCATAAAAACTTGAGTTCGGAAAAAAATGAATAAACCTTATCACTAAATCCTTGACGCCGCTGTTTCGAACCAACAAGTGCTAGGGCACCAAGTAAATCAAGAGGACAATTAGAAAAATAACATATACATCGTACCCGTGATTCATGAATATCCATAGGAGTAACATTTTCATGGCAAGGATAGCTAAAATTAACTGCTTGTAACAATAACCAAATTTAAGAATAGCAATAACATGTCACCTTCCTGAGTTGAAAAATTTTAAACGTTACAAAGGATTCCGTATGAAGGAATTTGATCTACTATGAACCTCATACTTATAACTGGAGACACTTTATTTGAAGCGTTTTAGATTTGCGTCTTGATACTTAAACTTCAAGATTTTAAGGAGAAAAAAAAATCTATAATAGACTAAAGTTAACATTTTAAAACTTAACATTTTACCCTAAAATCATTTTATAAATCAAATGAATAAAATCACCCTGGAATAGTTAGATCGATAACAAGCAAATCATTCTTCATTAGTACTGCAACACTAGAAGGTTGCTGTGATACACTGCTATAAGGTGAAGAATTCAGAGGTGTAAAGGTTATCAAAGGATGGTCTAATTCCAAAACTGTAATCGATTTTGATGCTCTCATTATGGTTAAAGAGGAAAATACGCCATCTTCCTGTGACATGCCTAAAAATTTCGAATTCTTAATTAGCTGAATGAAAGTTTTGAAAAAGGTTTGGAAAAGATAATAAGAAACCAATGTTTTTCATTAAAATACTAACCACCACCAAAAATAATTAACTGTTCTCCATCTGCTGAATGCCTCCAATCAACCTGAAATTTGTGAATAGGTTAAGTCATTGCAAAGTATATATAAAGAAATAATCATATAAATTCACGTGAAGACAGACCTGATTAATAGAATTACACTTCTGTCCATGAGGTTGCAATTTTTGTATATATTCTCCGGGCTTTCGAATATTCCAAACCAACAAGCATCCATCAGCTGTACCACACATAAACTGTCGGCCATCATGATGCCATGCAAAACAACGAGCTGGATGATCAGATATGAATCTCTCCACCTAGAAGAGACATTAGTGATCAAAAATGATTTTCTTCTAATATTGATCAAAAATACGGATAGTTCAATAAAAATTAATTTTCAAAGCAGTCGATTACTTCTTTCGTTTGAAGGTTCCATAATACAATACTCCCTTTTTCATATAGAATCAATAATTTAGAAAGTTCGGTGGGGCAGGTAGAAATAGCTTTTACACCACCAGGATGAGTACGAACACCTCTGAAATATGACAGAACGAAGTACATAGTCATTCAAGTGGAAGTAAAACTTTGAAATCAATGGAAAGTATATCATCCATTTCCTCAGATGATTAATTCAAAGCATGCATTCTAGTAATTAAATGTATTGAGAGCTACAAATAGGAATAATGAATATTTCATTAACTAAAATTTCACAAATAATACAATAACATGAACTTATTCTGAACGATCGTCGCTATAGGAAATATTTTTCACTATTGCAAGCTCCTTTTCTTGAAAAACAAAAAAAAAAAACAATTTTTTTTTAAAAAAACAAAAATCTACATGAATGTATGAGAGCATCTCTTTGCTAAGTCTATAGCAAGGAAAGAAAATGAATTTAAAGGACATATAAAAGATTGATGGTTACGCATGATGAGGATTATGATCAAAACATTTATTGAAAATAAAACTTCAACAGCACTTTATGATACTGTAGGATAGAAATATTGGTACCTGCTTGCTTTCGAAGTATCATGATGTTCTTATGGAGAAAAAAAAAATGCTGATAAGCAGAGTCATCTGATATTTAACCAAAATCGGTGTTTTAATCAAAAGTTGTTTTATTCTCTACTGCTCATTTTAAAATGCAACAAAAATTTCCAACAAATTTAACAATGTATAAAGAATCTTAAACCTGTTTTGCAAAAACGAAATAAAAAAAAATAAGAAAAAAAGATAAACTTACAAATCAATGGCCTTGTTCCAGTTGATAGCGTAACTAGATAAGGTAAATGTGGCTATTTTAACAAAATATACATTACCACGTTCGGTCCCCAAATAAAGCCATTTACTTTGGAAAGAGTGGCTGATACAGGTAATTTGCTCCTTCGTTAACTGTATACTGTGCAATATCACTGGTACCTGAATAAGTCACTGATAAAAAAATGTCATATCAGACTCAAAATCATTCTTCATTGAATTGAAATTTGCTACAAGTTATTGGATTTTAAAATAGAAAACACACGATTATCAAATATACAACAAAGAAAAGTTTTTCCAATTTTATATTTTGATAAAAGCTTCCAACTATTCTAAATTTTTTGTTAATGTTTCAGCGAATCCCTATAAAATAAATACATCAATATTTTTTGGAATTAATGCCTTCGTTACCTTTTGCCGAAAGTTCCACAAATGTATCAGGTCATCACGGCATGCAGTAACTAGTGCTCCCTAAAAACAAAGACTGTTTTTTCATTCATCCTTGATTCTTCTTTTTGCTATTATTTTAAATCCATTTCTTTCGCTTTCACTTTGTTTCAATTCCCACTTTCATATGCTGCTTATTTACATTTATTGGCATATCGTTATTCTTTACATTATTAAAAGAAATAAGAAATTGTGGGTTTTACATCTCAAATTATAACAATGTTAGTTAAACAAGTTTAGGCCTTTCAAATTAATATTCTCTTAATTATTCCTTTCGTATAATTAATTTAAAACAAATATTTGAGAAAAAAAAAGTTTTTAATAAGAGTTAAATGTAAAACCCAACAAGAAGGGATAATAATCCTGAAAATTTACTACCTATATGAGATCAGCAGGAAAAAGAAATCCAAACAGTCAAATAGTTTAGATTTTTTTTCATTAAAGTGACTTGAATTTGATAAAAAGCTTCTAATAGTTCCATATTTTGATCATCAAAGATTTAAAATTCAGAAAGATGACAGAAAAAATAACAAAACATACTTCATTGGTCAAGAATTGTATATGAAGCACAGCAGCGTCTGATTCATGCTTCAAACAATAATCCACTCCAACATCTCCGATAACTCTGATTATTCCATGGCCAGTGCCTATGGCTAGTAATCGTTGTACGACATCATAAGCCATACATCGTGGGTCGTCTGGAAATCCATGCCTTACGATCTGAAAATATCCCAAAGAAATTGTTTTTAAGTATTTATTTAATAGATCTAAATTTTTTGAACATAGTTCAAAAAAAGTTAAAGTTCGAAGTAATATCGCAATCACTAATTTTCATTTTTTTTCTTTTTCCTTATCAATTTAAATTTCACACTTTTGAAAATTTAATCTTACAACAGTTATCATTTTGATTTCGAAAGTTTGTTGGATCATCTGTATTACTAGAAAAGACTGGACAGTAGTTAGTTGCTTTTTTTTAATCGTTTTTTACTTCGATGATTCTAAAACATCAATTTAAAACAAAAAATAATTTTGCAAAACTAATCCTATATATACCAAAATCGTTTGAAAATATTTTAACATTGCAAATTCTTTAGTCTTTGAAAAAAGTTACCATTTATTACAAAAAAAGAAAATTGATAAATTTGTTGATTAATTTCTATTCATACTTTAAAATATGGATGATTCCAGTATATTCCCATCCAAAGTCATCAATCCTTAATGAATACTCAAATAAATAACAACATCATTTAGTTGCGCTTTCTTTTCTCTTCCTCTTTCCAATAATATATAAAGAATTAAAATGCTATTTTTCTTTGATGATACCCAAACAAATACCGCTCTCTCCTCTAGGGATATTTCAATAAATACAGAAAGATTTATAACATATCACTTACTCCTGTCAAACAAACATCTTCAGCAGTTATCTTCTCTTCTAGTTCCATTTCCGATTTATGTTGACTCCTGAAACCATCCAGCGCTGATGCTAAACGTTTTTTGGCACGATCCATTGATTCTTTACCGTTTATCTTTCCGCTTAATTTTTTTCCGTTTTTTGTAATACTATTGCTATTCCAACAATTTGTTTATTGTTACAGTAAAAATATGATTAAATAGTAATAATTTGAAGCAGAACGCAACAGAAAATATCAGAATTCGTTCTAGTTGCTGATAATGCTGTTTCATCGGTATTGTTTAATTAATGATTCTTAGTTTATAAACAAATATAAATGCAATTAATAATCATAAAGTTTCTTCATTTGGATTAAATCTGAAAGGAAAAAAAATAGAAATTTGCACTTGAAATGGTAATGAATCTAACGATTAAATAAATTATATATACATGCCAATACACAAAATGAACATTGACTTGATGAACAAAATAAAGAAAGTAAACATGTGAAGTGAAATAAATAACAACACACCATACATTTATATCTTTCGTATCAATGGAAATAATTTATTTTATTCTCTATCAACTAAATATCAAAGTTTAATAATTTATAGTTCTAGTTTAACGAGATAATACATAAATGTTTGTGCGCATATATTTATGCATTCATTTTGCATATAACTAACTTATCATTTATTCTTGTTAGTGATTACTTCTCGTTTTATTTTAATTGATTTAAACTTATATCCCAACAATTAATTCAATCTATTTATTGACAAAAAAAGTATGACCAACATATATGAAACGAAGTAAAAGAAATAATAATAATAATAGTAACAATAAATAAATAAGATTGCGAGTGACCTTTGATTTTTGATATTTCGTCTTCTGATAGGTAACTAAATTTACTCTTTTCCTTCACTTAAAAATAGAAAAAGCTTTCAATAAAACTATAAACGATAATTTAGATAAACAAAAGTACGATTAGAAATGCTGGCCCGTGGCCCAAATTTATTACCACTTTGAAAAAAAAAATTTTTTTTTAGAGAAAAGGAAGTAATGAATCCGTAGTCTAAATTTGCAATGTGTGATGGTGGTGGCAACGAAGCGGAAAAGTCTGACATGCGCATTTACGTGTATGTGTGTGTATGTATGTATATATATATGCATGTGCGTATGCGTATGTATGTAATAGTTTTAGGAATAGTTAATGGAATCGATTAGAAATGAGAAATTCCGGAGTGAGAAATACGGTTATAATTCAGATAAGTTCCTTCTTCTTTTTCCATTTTATTCCATCCTTTTAGGATCATATTGACAAAAAAAAGGGAAAAAGTGGCTTAATAAGTGCAACACAATTTTCCGATTGCCTACTAAATACATTCCATTAATGCTCACATGCATATACAGACACATACACATACATACATTGACATACAGATACATGCATATATACATACGTACACTGATATAGGCATACATACACAGACACATACATACTTACATAAACTTTGCATTTCGAAAAGGAATAGATGAATTTCAAAAAGAAAAAAAGTACAAAATCTGCATTCCATCATTTTCTTTTTTTGTTAAAAATTATTATGAAAGTTTAATTTTTAAAATTTTATTTTTCCATTTTCTTTTTTTTTTCATTCTTCTATTTTCTTCTTCTCTTCATCCTTTGTTTAATTGATTTTGTTAATTTTATAATTTTAATTTGAAAAATTAATATTGCAATGTGAAAAAAAAGGCAACAAAAGAACATTTGGGTAACAATTTATTATTGCTTTCTTTTTTTTTTCTTAATCTGAGTGATATGAAAGGAAAGGATACAACTAATGATCAGCTGTCGATTATTTTCATTTTTCTTTCAATGTTAATGAAATATTACTATAACAACTAACAGTCAGTTTTATTTGATTGATAATTACGATGACAAAATTAAATTATGAAATAAAAAAAAGCAAAAACATAAATGAAAATAAATTCAAAAAATAATGAATGGTTATATTATTATCCGAAAACTGATAGCTATCTAATACAATATGAAATTTACATATTTGAGAGAATTAAGCATTAACACTTATAGCTTAATATATTTTTCTGTTTTATGTTTATCTGCTTCTTTTTATACATTTTGCATTTTTGTGTCTTTTTCTTTCATTAAAATTAGTTTCTTCGTTACAATACTAAATTTTATGCATCTAAATGATATGTGCAAATGCTCAACTAATTACATAAATGAGTAAAACGAAGAAAATTAAATGAGCTAAGCACTTGAAAATTAATTTGAAGTAAGAAAAATTATAATTGTATATCAACTAGTTCTTTTTTGTGCCACTAATAATTATGGATTTGACGTAATATTAAAGGAAAAAAGAGGAAAAAAGATATTATTTGAAACGATGATTAATTTTTATTTAAATAACTGATTAATTTTATAGATAAAAAAATCCATCTAATAAAATTCACCTGCTAAATTTTTCTGCTTATTCTATATAGTTTTATTCTGTATAAATTTATAAGAATGAAGGAAGAAATGAATAATCATTGAATAATAAGAGGCATAAATCGATAAGTTAGAAAAATAGAAATTTTTGATGGGAAATATCATCGTCACAGATATAATCAATCATATATTTCAATGAATTCGTTGTGAATTTTCAAGGGAGATGAAAAACGATTTTTCTTTATTTCTAGGCTTGTGGGAATAGAAGAAGAAACTTTGATAAAAGAAAGTTACGTTTTTGACGTAATGTATTATGCATTTTTTATAATTATTCATTAGTTTTTACTACCTTAATTGTATAATTATTACATCAATAATAATAATAATTTATTGAATGAATTTTTGTAAAAATTTTGATCACTTATACGAATTATTTCATTTATTTTTTGAATATTGATATCTAATGGAAAATGTTTATAAGCAGAAGGAAAAAAAGGGAAAAAAGGAAAGGTGCTGAAAATATTATTAATCTGCTCCTTCACTTATTTAATAATATGCTAACTTAATTAAAATATTTATACACATTTCCGGAAATTTTTCTAAAGAGAAAAATGATTGACGCACTTTTGCTTCCTAATATAACCTAATGACTTATTTAAAAAAAAAGTGTGCAATTATTTCACACTACTCATAACTTTACCTTATTATTATTCATAGAATTTTCCTTTTTTTTGCTATTTTTTTAGAATTGAATCATAGTTTATCCGATACCTAAATTATAATCCCTACTAATTTCAATTCTAATGTTTGACTTAAAAAAAAAAATTGAATCAATTTTTATTTCGTGATTTTTTGATCTTACAATTTCTTTATTTTGTTTGATTTTTGAGCCCGTTAAATTCTTCTCTCAAAGAATAAATAAATAATAAACGATTTAGTTTGTTTTTAAATAAGGATACAACTAGTAGCTATTTATTACATAACATTAAGTAATATAGTTAAAAAACGAAAGCATATGTGTATACTAAATCGGAAATAATGGGAGATTCCGGATATCATCATCGGGAAAAGAAGTGGCAAAATGTGAATTCGTCGTTGTTCAGAGTGTTGTTAGAAACTTTATAAAATCAATTATCTCTAAAGAGCTTCCGGTACTCTAAAAACCTATCACAGTTGAATTCATTTTAGCAACAAAATATTAAAAAATCAATTAAATTGTAGTAGCAAACTAGTAAATATGAAACTAAGCTGTAAAAATTTGCACAATTCCCGCAAATAAGTGATTTTGTGACTATTGTTGTTGTTGTTGTTGATTTTATTAAGCTTTCATTTTAAGTTATCAAGTAATAATGGTAAGTATTAAAATGTTAAACAAATAAAAATGGATAGAAGAAGTAATATAGGAAATTCATATTCTGAATGCAAATGTTAGATATAGATGTTTGTTCAGGAAACAACTGTTGACATAATCACAGATAAAGGTGTACTCATCTATCCTGGATACAGGTGTTCTAGATGTAGGTGTGTTCATATACTCTCAATACAACTGATTAGTATTTGAGGTGCAATTGTGAATAATGAAAAATGAAAAGAAACTTTGTATAGCATTTTTTTTTGCTTGAAATATATTATTAATTAAGTAAAGTTAATCAATTATTCCTATTCTGAAATGTGAATATTTACTTCTTGATACTAAAATTTGATGCTTTCTTGGCAAAAATTTTTGATAAATAATTATTGAGGAAATAAGAGAAATCAATGAAAAGTGATGATAGGATAACTTTTTATTCTAAATTGCTAATTATAAATGATACTATTTTTCTTTAATATATCATCATAATGTTAATAATACTTCCCTTAAATATCATAAATGTTAATAAATATTTACATGCCAAATATTACTATTATCAAATAATAATACTAAAAACGAATAGTGTTTTTTTTTCTCTTAACAAATATAAAATTTTGTTTTTTGTAAAAGAATAATTATATTTGTTTATATATGAAGAAAAAAAAAATCAGTTGAATAACATATCCGGGAACAGAAATTTGGCTCATAGCTTAGGTTATCATTATGATTCAGATTTATTAAATACAAGATTTCAAACTCTTACCTTGTCAGGTAATGATGAAAATAATCATTTATTTGCTATTTAGTTTAATAAGTTGTTTATCACACTTTCTATTTTGATATAATCTATTCAACGTCACTATTAATTCACATCTTTCATCTATCTTACTTACTCACACACAAACTACATTTTTTTTCTCTTTTTTTGATTAATCTGATAAATTTTATGACACATAAATACCTACACACATCCGTTTAAACCTGAATAAGTTTTGGTGACACCATATATATATGAAAAGATTTTTAAATGATTTCAAGAATACAATAGAAAAAGTTAGAATTTAGAAATAAAATTGAAATCTAAAATGAAGAAAAACATTATGAGAATTAAATGATTCATAGTTCAGTAATATTTCCGTTAGATCGCAAATAGAAAATTTTTCAGAAGAAAAATTTTGCGATGTAAACTCTCATTTGCATGCTTAGTCTGATGTAATCTCAATTAGTAAATTAATTAATTTTGCTCAAATGCAAATGAAAGAGATGAAAAATAAGTATGAATTATATGAAGTATTGAAACAGCAAATAGATGTTGTTT